TCCATCTATCCATCCATCATCCATCTGTCCATCCATCATCCATCCATTCATCCATCCATCCATCTACCCATCCATCATCCATCTGTCCATCCATCATCCATTCATCTATCCATCCATCCATCCATCTATCCATCAATATCCATCTGTCCATCCATCATCCATCCATCCATCCATCCATCCATCCATCCATCCATCTATCCATCCATCATCCATCTGTCCATCCATCATCCATCCATCATCCATCCATCATCCATCCATCCATCCATCCATCCATCTAGTGAGAACCTTGAAGAACCTGTTTACTATAACAGGATAGTTTCAACTCATGACGGTACATTTGCCAGTTTTTAAAACTAAAAAAAACTATTTTTGTTCATATTTTGGTGAATCGACTACTTAGAAAATTCTGTTAAAGTTATACGTGCCAAATTACGCCTAAAAGACTCTCAGACCATCAGATAAATATTGTCTATTACGACAAAGCATAACGAACAAACTGGCCTCAGTTTTAACAAGTTTGTGGAAGAAATGAAGTACTGAGCACCACCATGTTTTCAGCTACGCCTAATCGTAGCATCATGCTGTGAAAAAGATTTCTGCATCATGAGAGGGGAGGCTGCCTAGTAGAGAGGGAAGAGTGCACGTAATCCTACAGAACGCTCMGGCCCATGGGTTTGAAGGAAGATTTGCATTTCGACAAGACAACAATTCAAAGCATAAGAAAACAGAAGTGGCTTTATGTGACTCAGACTTTGGAACTGGTTAAAAAGAAACCTGAAGATCATTACGTCTAATTATGTGGTTGATTATTACCAATTTCAAGATATTAGATGATTACAAGCATAATATTTTTTGCGTTTTTTTAATGCACAATAAAAATTTTCTTGTTTGTTATATTTTCTAATGTCTCCGTTTTCCCCATGATTTCTGAAATAATCTTTGTTTGTTTGACCTTATCTTTTARCTTTGACCACTATGGTGGAATCACAAAGCCCTGTTTGCTCTCTYACACTCCCAGATGTAATTATGTGTACTCAATTACCATGCAATTTCTGTGAAGAAAGGACCTTTATTACGTGTCTCTTCCCATTTGTGCAGAGACACAAATTGAAATAAGCTGAACCAAAGCTTTTCAGCAACAGCCTCACCCGTCTTTTCTCAGGGGAACCAGCTGTATCTATTGGTTTTTCCAAAGACTATGCCGCAAGAAATCAGTAATCAGAAATCAGGAAATAATCTCCTTATCGCATACAAATAGAAAACTATCAAATGCAGGAACACAAAGGCTGATACTGATGCGTGAATTAGAAGCAAAATGGTATCATCGTGGCACTTTAAAAAAAATAATTGATTTTATCTCTTACAAAGATCTTTTCAGAAAGATTTATTGATTCATTTGGTCAACTTTTTAAATAATTCGCTAATGATATAGATTTGTTTGGTTAGAAAAAGATGCAGGAAATGCCTCTAAATGTCGAAACTGAACGATATCATTAGCTAAGTCCTTGTCCATTACAGTGGAATATTTCATGCATATTTAATGATTATTAGTGCATGACAGTTACTGATGTAGTCATAAAATTCAGGGACTTTTATTATGAACTGAAAATATCTTATGAGTGTTTTCTGTCTATTAAACTAATTTTCACTGCTGCTAAATACATAAAAAATGGCTATACTGGTCAACACAATATCATTATGGCAAAGAATATGGGACAAACTAGTGTGGTGGATCTAATACTTTTATGTTTAAGCAAGTAATTCATGACATCCTTTAATGACCTAGGTTTTCATGACATTCTGTTTATCTGCAGAYAGAATGATTAAAGTCAGAACAAGATTWGCTAACAACAGTCATTCTTAGATATCACTTGTGTTTATCTTTGTGTTTTCCATTGACCTTGTATCAAATCTTGCTAAGATGGCATAATGGTGCTTGTTAATATATATATATGAGGCCTCTCGAGACAACAGAGTTCAACAGAGTTCAACAGTAGTGTGGAGAGACAGTGAGAGAGAGGAGCAGAGGCACAGAGACAGGCCAGTTGTTCTGTTTCCTGTTGTTGCAATAAAACTCAGCTGATCATCTCACGGAGTACCTTCATTCTTGGACCACGTATTTCTGTCTTTGTTGAAATATAACCATAACACCATCAATCCATCATAGTCAATAAACAATAATCACTACGCAACACTACGATTCTGAAATCAAACCGTTTTAGACGTGGAGCTTTAGAAGGGCTGGGGGTTACAGAGGTCAGCAGTGCAGTGAGGATTGACAGACAATAGATTGAGCTAATGAGTCATGAGGCTAGATTTACCGGTGCTGAGGCATTTCCATGCAGCTCTCGCTTCGCCATCACAGGCCTGACCACGGTGGTGTGTTTGACGCTTGTTTCCTTTTTTGCTAATGGCTTTCTATAAACTCGCTCATCCGCTCTCCAAACCAGCGATGAATACGGAGAAGCTGAATTTGAATGTAACAAACGAGCGTCGTGGCACAAAGATAAGGGAAACAGGAGCCCCAACTTGTTGATTTGAATGAGATTGTTCCAAGCAGCAGAATCGGTCTAAATTTCTCAGAGTGTCTTTTGGAACAAAATGTCTCAGTAAGACACATAACGCTCATCAGCAGGAAATCTGTATCATTTAAAGAGCAGCCTGACCTGCCTTCGAGCTGTGAACAGACACGTACGGTACACAACATTTCTGCGGCCTCCTAATGAAAACATCTCTAAAGAACTATTTCTTCCAGACACAGAACAGTTAGACCTGTCACCTCAGAAACAACAAGGTTAGTTCAAAACTTGGATACATTTTTTGTATGGAGTTTGTGTGTTCTCGTGCATGTGTGGGTTTACTCCCACAAAAAAACAAACAAACAGGTATTACATTAATTTGTCATTTTAAATTGTTACATTTAAGAACAAGTTGTTCATTTTTAGTGACGATATTAGTGACGAAGATAAACACCAGTCGCCCTGCATGGAAAAGAGAAAGCAGGTGGATGGATGCATGCATTGTTAATTATAAAGGCTAGCTAGCTTTTAGCTGTTTATTAGGGGCACAACAATACATGTACCCATATCGAACCGTATCAAACAGTGCTTTAGGTTTAATACACACTTGTATCGAACAATACCGATTTTTAAAATTTACTTTATCAGCTTGTCTTGTGAAGACGCTCTGTGTTGAAGGATCAGTGGATCTGTGTTCGACTACTCCACCCAGGCTGCACTGTTGAGCGCAGCTCCACTGAGAAACTTGCTGTTTCAGCAACATTTAATTTAAAAACTGTACTTTTGAGGTTAAACAAACGTTCATAATTAATTTAAATAAATTACAAGTTAAAATAGGCATGGAAATTTCTCTTTTTTTGTATCGAAAAAATATCGAACCGTGAGACTAATGGATCGAACTGAACCGAATCGTGGATTTTCTGTATCGTTGCACCACTAATGGTTATAGAACAAAAAGTAAGAAAATTTGTATTTGGTAGATTATTGATTTATTGTAAGAAGGATTCTTGGCAACAAATCTTCTACCAGGCATCTGAATGGCAGCACCCAGGGGTACCAGAAGCTCCAAACAAGGGTAACCATCTCAACAATAAAACAAGCTGTTTGGCAGAGACGATTTTGCAACTTTTTTAATGTGTGCAACCCAAATGCTTGTTCCTTACAAATGTGGCCGTATTTAAAAGGGAAATTAACAGGCTTTCCAACGGGATAAGATTTATCGTCAAGAAGCGTAATCTACCAAGCAGAAATATTCCTTATTTTTAGTGCAAAGTATTTCTTATTGTTGAGAAAATTACGGTAAAATAATTTGTGCCATTTTTCCCAAATAAATAATATTTCACATTTTAGTGTTTTTTTTTATACTTTGCCTTTTAAATAATTTAAAAAAAACACCTTTATTGCTATTAGTGGGTTTTGTAAGTTTCTACTGTCTGGGAATGAAGTAACGGGCAAAAGCTAAATCGCATTTAACAATGTTTTCCCTGGGGATTTAAAATAAAAATAATAAGGAAAATATTTAAATTATCTTCTTTAAACTTCAGGCTACTGCCAAATGACATGGCTTTACAACTTGTGTCCACTAATGGTAATTAAAACAACTGTTTGCAGATGACAGTGCGGTGAATCCAGACGGCGGCTCCGTCTCTGCCAGTTATCCAGACCAGATCTGCAGAGGCATCAGAAAAACTAAGTCCATCTGTGGAACTGCAGTCCGGCAGCTCGATGAATCAGGGTGGTTTCAACAGAATGAGTCCCAATAAAGTTTCAAAAAATAAATCAAAAATATTGCATCACCTATCTGCTAAAGAAGTTTTCACCAACAAAATATGAATCAAAGAAACCGTTAGTTTTCATAATTTATTGTACATTGTCATTACTTACATTTTTCTGTAAGCAAACTAATAACAACAGATTTTTTTTTTACAAAATATAAACTATAAGGGGGAAATGTAAATCTAACATTTCAGTTTTACAGTATAATCTGCTGGGTCTAACCCGGGGATAAAGAGAAGAATGGTGTCACACCCTCATCGCAAAAGACGGCAACTCTTTAAAAATCACGAGGCAAAACTGACACAAACTCTGTGGCAACTTTTGTGCTACATAAACGTTAACATTTCTAACAAAAACAAAAAGAAAAAAAAAAGAAAAAAAGACCAAAGACGCAGCTAACAATGTCATCAGGCTCACACATTTCCTAAACCCCCGATCTGCCAAACTTCGTTTTAACAAAGACCAGTCAGATATTTTTGACTTCCAGTTGGATTTAAAGCCACAAAAATAAAACCTGTGCACTCAAGTGGTCCACGTGTTCAATCAGGACATAAGACATGGCAACCTGAGCATCTCCCACATGTGATGGTCTGACAATGGAAAGCCAAAAGGGAAAAAGCACCACTATTCCTTTTGATTCGGTGCAAGAGGCTGGACGCAGGGGAGGAGAGGGGGGGGCTGTGGTGAAGATCTCCAACTGAACATTAGATTCACACCCCTTTCCTAAAGAGAAATGTCTTAAATGATATTTTTATTTTACTTAAGGAGGGTGAAGAAGGCTGTGGAGTCCATCTATGTTGGTCTTGTGGTCTCTAAGAGCGCGAGATGAGAAGCTGGACTGGGTGGGATGACGACGGCCGAGGAGAGGAGTTGAGGCGGAGCAGAAAGGGAGTCGTTTTTAACAGTAGCGTTGCAGGAGGGAGGCGGCCACGATGATGGGGGTCAGGACAGAGGGGGCGCCGGCGTGCAGCGAGACGCCCGCCCCGGTGGGTTTGGTGGAGTTGCCACTGGAGTTTACCGCTGTTGCCGCAGTGGAACTGTTGATGGAGGAGGAGGCAGATTTCGTTCCGGTGGTGATGGTGGTGTTCTGGGAGCCCACCTGTTGGGAGGAGGAACCAAACAAACTTATTCAACTCACTTCTGTGGAAAGCTTTGTAACAATTGCAAAATTGTCACTTTTTTTTTTGCATCAGATCCGAAATAAGACCAAATTATTTCCACTAGAACCTAAATGTAGTGTTACTCAGTGTACAAAGTTTCAAATACAACATTTCTGCTAAGTTTTCTAACAACATATGACTAACTGGCTGCTGCTAAAACTACAGGAACTTCTGTTTCGAAATGTGACACCCACATCATTTGGTAAATTGCACTGAAAAGAAACTTTAGCTTCTTCCCCCACCTTCCCACAGGTAGACTTACAACACCCAGCTCTTAAATCATTCATTAAGTGTAGGATAACCAACAAGTTTAAAATAAAAATGAAAAAAATACAATAAATTTTAACAAATGCTAAGTTTGAGAAGTGACCAACAATAAATCAGAATTTTAAAGCACCATTTCTGCTTTCTTGCTGCAATCCAAAYCCTCCTTAAATCAAAAACATAAAATATAAACAATCAGCTCACACACAATTATTACGAATAAATATATCCAAATCCTTTATATCAGAAATTACACACCTGCCTGGATAATAAATGTTAATCTAAAGATAAAAGTGTCGCCCTGAAAAGCAGAATATAAATAAATCTTACCTGTGTTGATAGGCATATCACCAGCAAAATCAGCCCGAGCTGAACGAGCGTCATTTTGAGCATTTTGGACGCTTCTTCTTTTATTTCTCCTGAACTAATTGAATCTTGTTTGGTCAGATGGAGGAGGATGYCCACAGGCGCTGCTTCTCTGTAGTGTGGACGCAGCATCAGGCGGAGCGGTTTTATACCGGGTCCGTGACGTCACCACGGGAACTCTAACGAGCCCGGGATGTTTTGGACATACAACTAATGAGCGCTTTAAGCCGTTATTTAGGGACAAATTTAAGTTCTGTCTATGAGAAACGCACAGTCTTTATTAGTTTATTGTTATTAGTTGGTTTGTTTCTCACAGCACCACTCCGTGTCGAAAAACAAATAAAAAATGAAAACTTTCTGAAACTCGAGGCTCTGCGTCGAACCGTCCATCTTAAAACTGATCCTATCTTTATCATTATGATTCTGGAGKCTGAGTTTGTTGTTTTACTGCCGAGGAGAGGTCAACAAGACTGTTTTAGCAGATATACGTTTTTAAACATGCCACTTTGTTTAGCTTTTGTTATCAAAAGGAAGGCATAAATATAATTTAACGGGTCAAAAATGTCGAACTAAAAAAGTTACAGGAACTGACCTGTTGAGCCTGAGGTTTCTACACGAGACTAATAAGTGTGACAACAGCGACACCTACTGGATAGATAGATATACAGATAGATAGATAGATAGATAGATAGATAGATAGATAGATAGATAGATAGATAGATAGATAGATAG